GCCATCTCCCTGGCCCAACTTTGACAAATTTAAGCAGGATGATGTTGAATTCATCATCTCTAGGGTGGACAACTGATATTTATTATAAACCTGAAATTGCCTACAAATTTACATAGAACCAAACTAGTGTTGCTATACTTTTATAGAATGAGTAATTTTCCCCTCCTCTTTGTGTGATCATACACAAAGAAAATTAAAATGTAGCATATAATTACTAGTTGTTTACATTTAAATTATTGTTAGCTTACATTTTATAGATTTAAAGCATCCTTCCTTATTATGATAATGTATTTTCATCCCATTTTATTTTATAAAATTTATTATTATTATTATTATTATTATTATTATTATTATTATTATTATTATTATACTAGGTACCAGAAATTGAACTCATGACCTCACCCATGCTTGTCAGGCAGGTGCGGTGCCACTGAACTATATCCTTGGCCCATTTTTCCCCCCATTTTAAGGAGAGAAAAATTATTTTGAGAAGACATCCTAGATCACATGGCTCATAAAACTCCTAAGAAGTTAGGGGTCTGAATTTCCAATTCTCTATGGAAATTGGATCTTTTTTGTTGTTTTGTTATTTAATTCTAGTCAACTAGGAACAGTACTCCTACATTTTATACAAGCCATTGTTAACATCATAAGTGAAAATCTTTTGACTGGAGAAAACTGCAGTGTGTGCAAATGGTCGGCATCTGCCATGGTTAACTTCTATCAAGACAGTCTTTACAGATGTGAGGTGAGCCCTTCCCAGGCTAAGATCCAGCAAGTGGCTTCCAGAATGGCGATTCACCAGACATGTTCAACAGAGCCCACCACACCAGTGAGCTCTCTTTGGATGTGCTCATTTTCTCTTACTGCTATAACAAATCACCACAAATGCAGTGGCTTAAACAACACAAATTTATATCTTAAAATTGTGGGTGTAGAAAGGGTGTTGCTTGGCTAACAGCAGGTGTGAGCAAGAATGTGTTCCTCCTGGACACTCTAGAAAGAGTCTGTTTCTTGCCTTTTCCAGCTGCTAGAGGTAGCCTTTATTCCTTGGCTCAAGGCCCCCTCCCATCTTCAGAGCCATCCTAGGCCAGGGAGTCTTTCCCACATCCTATCACTCTTGCCACCTGTTTTCATTTATAAATGCCTTTAAAAAAACAAACAAGAAAGAATAGAAACATAAGACAAAGCAACAACATGTCTTCAAAACACCCCTCTCAACCAATTAAACAGGAAAACAAAAGCCACACAGCCAAGGAACAGATGAGATTAAAAAAAAGATCAATGAGGTGCTTGGCAGGCTCACAGAAAATAGAATTAATCAGATAACAGAGGTAATGAGCAAAACAGTCAGGAAGCTACAGAGGACACTAATAAAAAGCTGAGCAAAGCAAAATGTAACAAAACATAAATGATCAGTCCAGCAAAAATGAGAGTCTGTGAAAAGGTTCCAAGCAGAAACCCAGGAGGTTAATAATTATATTGAAGGTATGGGAAGCAGCCAACAATGCCAGAAATTCTTACAGAATGGATACACACAGGGTGAGCAGTAAAGCAGCAGGTGGGGAAAGGAGGGAGTCAGCAACAGGAAATACAATGACAGGTAGAAGTCTCAGTATAACGCTCCACGTGAATGTTCTGAATTCTCTAGTCACAACATGGTCTAGAAGAATGAACCAAGAAACAAAACCTAACGGTATGCAGTATATAAGAAATACTCTTGGTCCAGCGAGATAGCTCAGCAGACTAAGCACCTACTTAGTTAAGCGCAGGGACAGGAGTTCGATCCCTGGCACCATATGCTGTGCCGGCTCCGTCCTCCCAGTTATGCTGAGCTGGACACGAAGTCCTGGTGTGGCAGTGCACGCCTGTAAATCCCAGCAGTGGGGAGGCTGTAAACAGAAAGATCACCATGAGTCTGAGCTGCTTAGTAAGACCCTGTGCCAAATACATAACAAAAGAAAAAAGAAAAAAGAAAAAAGAAGTATTTTTACTCAAAAACAACAACAACACACACAGAGAGATAAATCAAAGGTAGAAAAAACATTTCACAGAACAATAACTCTGGAAACAGAGGAATAGTTGGCCATGGCCTATGCCTGTAATCCCAGTGACTGGGAAGCAGAGCAAGAGGATTGCTGAAAATTCAAGGCCGGCCTGGGGTATAAAGTAAGTTCAAGGTCAGCCTGAACTGCACAACGAGATCCTGTCTCAAAACAATAACAACAAAAACCAGATAATGCCAGAAATACACACTGAAACCTATGGAACACAGTAAGTGGGAAGTTTATAGTGCTAAGTTCTCATACTGAAGAGCAATGTAAAAGTTTAAATAAAAGCCCGCTGTGAATGCCCACCCAAACCCAGCAGATATATGTGAACAAGTCTGACAACATTCCTTCCCTGTCTTGTGTAACCGCTTGTTTAACTGATGGCTTCGCAGTGTAACCTGAGATGCTCAAGCTTGCTTGGCAACCCATGATGACACCTAACGCTCCACTCACAGTGTACCAAGTCTGCTTCTGTACTTCCCATTTGCTCTCCCCATAAAAACCCTGAGATCCCGCCTTTCGGAGCTCTAGCTCCTTGGGAGTGATACCAGTCAGGCTTACCAGAGTAATAAATCACTGTCTCCTAGACCTCCTCTGCGCCGAGTATTCCGGCGTCCAGTTCTGTACTGTAACAATACCAGAAAAACAAAGCAAGTTTATGGATAATCTAGCAAGCAACAGATAATCTAGTGGTGTATCTCAAGGTCCTAGAAAAATAAGAACAATTCAAATCCAAAGCCAGCATAAAGAAGAAAATTATAAAGATCAGAGGAGAAATTAATGAAATCGAAACTAAAAAAGAAATCTATGACTGAAAGAACTAGTTCTTTGAAAGATTAAACAAAATAGACCAATCCCTAGCCAATCTTACTGAACAGGCAGAAAAAAAAAAGACCCATATCAATGCAATTGGAAATGATAATAGTGAAATCACAACAGACTCTAATGAAATCCTGAAATTACTAGTAACTACTTTGAAAAACTGTGCTCTAACTAAACAGAGAATTTAGAAGAGTGGGAAGATTCTTAGAAGGATGTGGATTGCCAAAACTGAACCAAGAAACTATAAAAACCATGAAAAAAAAAAAAAAAACCATGAAAATTTAATATCAGGCAGTGAGATTGAAGAATAAAAGTACCAAATAAGAAACGCCAGAGTCCCATTCTTGACTTCTTCAAGAACTTCAGGGACGCTCTAATGCCATTACATTAATATCTTGGTTCACCGGTTCAGGAATTTACTTCCAACACCCTGGTTCAGAGAGAGCCGACTCCACCTCTCCCTCCAGAACACGGGGCCTTCACGGCTGGCTGTGTCTTGAGCACCTGAGAATCCAGGCTCTCTGCTCTTTCTGTTCCCAGACTGGAAACATGCTGGGGCTTGTGCCCAGCTCTGCCTGAGTGAGGAGAGCTCACCCACACTTTCCTCCTTGGTGGATCCTGGCCCTCCCTGACACTACTGGCCAGCAGATGGAACTCTGGTGTGCTGTCCCATGATTGTGGAGGCAAGAAAGGCCTCCTGGCCACAGCTCCAGCTGGCTTTCATCATCATGGTCTTGAGCTGCCGCCGGTCTTCACTGTTTATTCACCATTACTCATTTCAGTTTTTTCAGAGCTTTATTTGTGGTCATTCCATGGGTTGTAGCAGGAACAGGGCAAACACATTAGCTCAGCCTGACAGCTTGACCCATGCCCTGCCCTACGCTGGCAGGGCCCCCGGGGTGACCCAGAGCGCAGTCCAGAGCAGAATGCTCACAGCACCTAGCTGCCATCGAGGCTCAAGTGTGAGTGACTGTCACTTTTTAATGGAATGCTGTGGGTCAGACCAGTCTGAGCTACATAGTGAGTTCAAGGCCCGTTAACACTGTGTCAGAAAACAAAACAAAAATCACAGCTAATGTCCTGTGGGTTTCAAATACAGTAGTCTCTTGCTATTTTGCAGTTCGACTTTCACAGACTATTTCGTGGTTTAAAAAAAAAATCAAAATTATTGTCCATTTTTCGCTATATTGCAGTATTTTGCTGCACCATACAGTGTATGTTGTTAAAATTATGTAGGCTATGCATTTAGAAAATGGTTAAGAAAATTTAAGTGTTTTTAAGTGTGGGAAAGGTTTATAAGAGTATGGGGTTTATAAAGCCTTAAAATATATATAAATACTAAATATAACATTGCTACTTTGCTGATTTTCACTTATCATAGGGGTGCCTGAAACGTAACCTCCGCTGTAGCCCATGAGATGAGAGATGAAGGGGCAGCTCAGTGGTAGCATGTGTGAGGCTCTGGATTTACTGCCCATGACCAGAAAAAATGTGTAAGAGACTCATTAAAGATATGGTCATGAGGGCCAACCAAATAGCTCAGCAGATTAAAGCACCTGCAAGTAGGTGCAAGGGCCAGAGGTTTGATTCCTGGGCCTGCCCTGCTGACCCAGCCCCTGGGGCATACTGAGACAGCAATTGTGACTGGGCGTGGTGGCACATACCTGTAATCCCAGCTCTTGGGAGGCTGTAAACAGGTGGATCACTACGAGTCCAATCTAGTAGTGAGACCCTGAACACCCTGTAGATCCTTCCCTAAAAATACTAAATAAATAAATAAATAAAAAAAAAATAAAAAGATATGGTCCCGAAGTAGATTAAGTTGAGAAAGCTGGGATTCACTTTGTCGTGGACATTATAGAGATAATGTGTAAGTACTGAAGAAGATGAATTAGTGGGCAGGTTACTGCAAGCATGAGTGAAAAGTATATCCAAACATCATTCACATGTCAGGTGTGGTGGCACACACCTGTAATCCTGGCAGTCAGGAGGTAAACCAGGAGGACCACCATCAGTTTGAGGCCAGCTTGAGATACAGAGTGAGTCCCTGTCTCAAAAACAGTAACAAGAACAAGAACAACAACAAAAATCCAGAGTTTTAGTGTATAATTAAAATATATTTTTTTAATTTACAGAGGGTAGGGAATCTTTAATAAAACACATGCAATAAATACAGCTATTGGAACTTAAAATTGTGCACTAGGTTGCTTTAGGCGTTTGGGCTGGAGAGGCCGCAGCACTGGGGACATCAGCAGGTACCTTCAGCAACTCCTCCACCTCTTCTCGCAAAGCTTCCGCCTTCTCCTGCAACAGCATCTACAGGAGAAGCGAGGCGTGAGGCCGGGTGGACACTGCTGCCCATGAGAAACCCAGCCCCACTGGCAATGACCCAGAAATTAGAGCTAAAAGCACAGACTGGAATGGGCATTCAGGATGGGAACAGTAGCAAATGAAGGGGAGAGGCTCAGTTCAGAAAATTTTAGCTGAGCAGTGCATTCAATATGCCAAAACCAATGGATCTTTACTGAAGACCTGACCTCTTAAAATTTAATTTTTAATCTATAAAACCTCAGATAGTTTTGCAAAAATTGAACTAGCTCCTGAAAACACTATCCTTTACACATATTAATTTTATTATTCCATAGGATTCAGTACGCTTTTAACAATTCATCAGTATTTCAAAGCAGTTTTACTTAAGCACTTAAAGTGAACACTGCTAATTTGTAAAACAACATTATGAGCAAGAAAGTATTTCTAAACATAGTACACAGAAGATAAAAGCTTAGCGAAATCATATCAAGGAGAGTGTGTGTGGTGTGCACAACCGTCATCCCAGCCCTTGGCAGGAGGACTGGCAAATTCGAGACCCGCCTGGGCTATACAGTTCTAGGCTAGCATGATTTACAAAGAGAGACCCTGTCTTAAGAAATCATATAAGGGGG